TGAAAACATGAAATGCCTCACTTTTATGAGTTAGAAACAAGGTCCATGTAAACCTAGAGTAGTCATCGACAATCACAAATGCAAAGTAATTGCCACCAAAACTTTTCGTTCTAGAGGGACCAAAGAGATCCATGTGCAAAAGTTGAAGCGGTCTAGACGTTGAAACAACGTTTTTAGACTTAAACGAAGCCCGAACTTGGTTCCCCTTTTGACATGCATCACATATGGTGTCTTTTTCAAACTTAAGTTTTGGGATGCCAATTACTAAGTCTTGTGAAACCAATTTGTTCAAAAGGTTCATGTTCATATGAGCTACCCTTCGGTGCCATAGCCAAGTGTCTTCCTCTTTACTCATGAGGCACTTAGCAAAGCCGGAAGGAGATTTGTCAAAGTTAACCATATAAATGTTATCGATTCTATCACCACGTAGAATGACCTTATTGTCACTAAGGCATTCTACAGTGCATGATTTTGAATCGAAGGTCACACGGTTTCCCTTGTCACATAATTGACTTATGCTCAAGAGATTGTGTTTAAGACCTTTAACAAGCAGGACATTATCTATTGACGAGTCTTCGGACTTACCTATTGAGCGGACCCCAATTATTTTTCCTTTGCTGTTGTCTCCAAAAACTACGTTTCCTCCTTTAGCGGGTTTGATTTGTAGGAACTTGGATGCATCTCCGGTCATGTGCTTGGAGCATCCGCTATCAAGGTACCAAAGTACACTTGATGCCTTCAAGCATACCTCTTGAACGTCGTCAGTTTGATCTTCGTGCGCCATGAGGCAGAGGTTGGCGGCTTCCTCCTCTTCTTGATCCGTTGACTCATCCCCGGAGTCGCCTCCCCAAGAGATATAGGCGCGTTGCTTTTTGAAGCCAGGTTTGTCCTTGCCGCCTTTTCTTTTTGGACACCTCGGCTTGATGTGGCCTATCTCACCACAACCATAGCACTTCGGGGGCCCGTCGTGCTTTCTTCCTTTTATTTCAAATTCTTTCTTCATGAATTTGTGGAACTTCTTGATGACGAGTCCGAACTCGTGGTCATCGTCGCTTGAGTCATCTTCCGCGGACTCCTTGGTTGCTTTCAGCGCTATACCCTTCTTCTTTTGTTCATCCAAAGACGGGGTTAGGATAGTGGATTCATAAGTTTTGAGATTACCTCTTAGCCCGTCGATGGTGACATTTGAGACTCC